TGTTGGTTGTTGTGTGGGTGGTGGTGGGTGTGGAGGGAAGGGAGCGGGTGTCATGTTGAGATTTCAGAAACAGCGAAAACTAGTTCTTCTTTCTTCACCTGCCTTTTCCTGAACTTCTCCCTGGCCTGCTCACTGAAGGCTGCTAAAGCTTTTTCCCTTTGGCTTCTAACAACCCATGTAAACTAACTCTGAACCTTCTAGTGAGGGAGAAGCAGGCATCCATGGAAAATATGACAAGAAATATGGAAATCAGTTAAGTCTATTGCTTTCACAATCTTACTCTCTCCTTTACCTTCCTTAGGAGGTTCATTGTTTGCCACTTATTTTGCAATTTCTACAGTGAGCAAATTATGGCAGGTTTACTAGAATTAAGTGGGCACTGAGGAATAAAGGCATTGTAGTTCATATTCTTATTAGTATTCACATTGTTTTGGCATCTAAGGGTCTTAGAAATAGGCTTAGGGTTCATTATACTAAGTACTATACAACCAGAAAGACAGTTCTGCCTTACAGGGCTTAAAATCCATATATAGGACAAGTGACAGCAACTGGATACAGAGATGCAAACAAGGAAACAATCCAACAGTGTCAGCCACAATATGGAAACTGAGAGGTAGAAATGAGATCTGCATAGTGTGAATTTTTTTGAGGAAAAATCCAGTAACATCAGATTAACTTCCAGAAGGGAAGAAAATTCATGGCACTTCTTGTTGTGTTCACCCCAGTTATCTTGGCCCAGTGCAGAAATACACAGGAAATCAGATTTCTCTTACATAGAAGCCTGAGTCTGCTCTCATTTGTATCATTATAAATAAAGATTAACTTCTGTGAAATTACTGAATTTATCCTAGTGTATAAACAGTCCAAGAGAAGGCAGAGTCAGGTCCTATATTACTCTTTATTGCCAGAATGCCTCATTCTCCCAGTGCTATGAATCTACTTTATTGTCTTGTGTTATCCATGGCATTTATCCATTGACTATAAAGCAAACAGTGAGATCTATGTAAGCAGGAAAATTACAAATTACTTAGGAGCTCCATTTCATCTCAAAAATGAACAGATTTTTCTGACAATTTCGGGTATTCCAAAGAAGCCATTAGAACTAATACTTCATCACCTCAACATAAGAAGATGAAAATCCCATTTGCTTAACATATGAAATACTGATTTTTAAACACAGCTGTATGACTACTAATAATAGTTAATTAAATAGAAAAGGAGTCTTTGCTCAGGTGAATTTCTTGGAGAATGAGCCACTCCTACAGCCTGGGTTACAGAAAATGGAGACTATAACAATAACTATCTGATTCTTAAGTTTGTGATGGTCAGCACAAATAAATTTTTAAATCATGTAAGCCAATCTCATTCTGTTTGGGTTTTTTGTTTTCTCTGCATATTATGTATTTAGGACTTGTAGAACTACGTGTTATGAAGTGTTTAATTTTTGTATTTCTGGAGGCTTTCTGACTTATTATGATCTACTAAATCACAACATGTTTGGGGACATTTTACTCTGATTATTTGGCAGAAATCCAGATGTATGTATCCAAAAAAATGTAGGATGCCCAATTTGAGCTGGCAAAATTTCAGAACTGACACAACCCCAAAGCACAAAAAACCCAGCTAAAATGGCCAGTACAAAATCTGTATCAGGTCTTGCTCATCTGTAATGCAAAAGCAAACACCAACAAAACCAAAAGCCTATTAGGATTGCATCCGGCCTGATGATTGCAAAAGTTACTTAGGAATATTTTAGAGTTCCACTATCAATGTGTTGCTAACAAACCAAGTATGGAAGCATAATCATTTTATTAAAACTCCTACTCCTCTCCCTCATACTTTTGCTTAGGAACCCTTTGCTCAGGGATTCTGTGAGCACAGTTCCATGCTATAAAGTGGTATCGGCAGACAGCTGACACAGACAGGATAGATGATAGATGGATATTTCCCAGCAGTAGCCTTAGAGAATATTTGCCACTGTTGCTTTCTCTATTCTAGGCAGCTGTTTCAGCTAGCTTTTGCATTGCTAACAAGTACTGAGATTAAAATAGATCTTTAAAATAGCTTTTTGCTAAGGCTTCACAGAAACCTGTTGGCTGGATACTCTCACAATGACTCACTTCCACAACTCACACTTCCCACAAACATCTGTGAATCATAAAAAGCTTTAATGAATGTGGATAGCTGTGCAAAGAAACTACACACCATCTAGGTATGTATACTTTACTTCTTTTAACTCTGTTCTCAGCTGTTCCCTTTTTTGTGTTTCATTTTGTGCCAGGTTTTTATTTTAGATGGTGCAGGCGAGAGGCTGTGTTTTTTGTGTGTCTCTGTAGACCAAGTCTGGCACAATTCTGGGGTGGTATAAATAACAAACCTTCCATTTCAAGGAACTGATTTGCAAGGACTGAGAGTCAAGTTCAAATCTCTTTTTCCTGTGTCAAAGTCTTGAAATTTACCTTGTTTTGTACAAAAAGGGATTTTCATACAATGAATGAAAATCAGATTACTGTAACAGAGGAGGGGAAAAAAAGGAGGATAACACTGAAATGTGAAAAAGTGTGTTTATCCAATTTCCACACTATAATTAAAGCAACCAGAAGATGCATTCAATTATTTCCGTAACATTATTTTGGTCTAGCAAAAACTTCTTCAATAGATATTGAAGTTAATTGATCCTACATTTAGGCTAAAAAATGAATTTAGATTACACTTTGTATAGTCATGACTGAGTCAGCTTGAAGTTCTCACAAGGTCTGATTTAACTGTTACATAGGCGTTAGAAAGATCAATCTGGCAGTCTTACCTGTGGATTAAAGAATCCTGTCATCCAGAACAGATTTGGTTGGCCATCCTGCAGCCAGCTGCTGAACTGCTGGTTTCTTTCAAGAAGCTCAGTAAACCAAAATCCTAAAGTAGCCGACTCCCAGGAAATCCTAAACCATAGTTTTGGAATTCTAGCATCATACATATTATCTAAAGCATCTTGCAATTCTTCTGACATAATTATAGTTCCTGGAAGATAAGTAAAACATTCAGAATGAACTTTCCCCTAGCTTGCAAAGGCAATTAAAACTTCCAAATGACACTCTGAGTTTTATAAACCCTCTTTTGTTGTGCCTCAATTGCACACCTGTTGCACTAAAGTGTTACCAGTTTGCAATAAATTTGCTCAAACTTGTAAGACTTGATTCAAAGTTAAAGGTGACAAGACAAATTATATTTCTTCTGTTATTTTGATCAGAAATAAAGATTTTTTTTTTAAAACAACTCCTTCTTCCTCACACATAATATTATATTCACACTGTGTTTGGAATGTGATTAAACATTTAATTTTTTTAATACATTTTAATGGTTCTCACATATGTGATCAATGACAGAGATATACTGTGTAACTCATCTATATCCTAAGCATGTACTGACAGTAATTATATTAATGAAATTCACTGTTATTAATGATAACTTTGTACATTTCCATTATCAAGATTCCCAGTGGGAAAGCAGTACGTAGAATACACCTAAAGGCAAGAATTTTTTTTTTTTTTTTGGCAGTCGCAGTGCATACTCACATATTCCATGCATAGTACTGTTGTGTCCATTAAAATATTGGCATTTACTACGACAATGATTTTTCAGTGACGCTCACCGTTCCATGTGCCAGAAGTTCCTACTTCTTATCAGTTTGTACTATCAATAGTACTGAGAGCTGGCACACAGCCATACCTCAGGATGTCTTCTCTATTCCAGCTAAAATATTTTAAATTGTAGAAACTGGTCTGGTAGACCCCATTCCGATTAAATGTTCATGTAATACCAATGTTCAATGCATTGTTATACACACAACTGCTGTAATTGCCACAAGGATTACATGAGATACCAAACAGAATTAGGTGGCTTCCACCACAGAACATGTAAAGGATAGAGAAGTAGTTTGGGTGACTGCAAACAAGAGCTGCAGTGGCTCATCCAAACATATTTGTATGGAAATGTGGCCTGTAATAGGTAAGCATTTCAAAACCCTTCCTTGCATTAAGGTTGGCAGGTCCCCAGTTCTGGGGAAAAAGAAGAATATCCAGAAATCAAACACTAGCTTTTAATTTAGAAGAATGTAGTGGCTGCCCTAAACACTTGTACACCAGTGTGTGCAAATCTGGTACTTTCTACCATATATCATTGGCAAATAGGCTTCATTTTCTTCTAGCAGATAATGGCCTGCTGTCATTTATACACACCTCTCTTTATGCAACAAATGCTATGAGAAAGCCATCAACTTACAAAACTGTAAATACTAAAAAAACCCTGCCATCCTGCATTCTCTGTAATGGCTTCATAGTAGGTTCAGAATCATGTTTTGAGATAGCTAAGAGTCTTTTATAACACAATTAAAAAATCTTCTCTTTGGGTATAAATCTTCTCTAACATATACTCAAGAACACCAACATTTAAGAAAGAAACCACTCTGTGTTATTTCTCCTTTGCCTAGAAAAATGTAATTTTAGACCATAAACTCTGTTCACCCTCTGGAGGCAGAAAAAGCAGAAAGAAAAGCGCAGCACATGTTGGTTTCTACTTCAGAGCAACTGTAGTGAGTGCAGACAACAACTGAAGAGCATCCCGTTGGAGCCCTGGAGATCATTACCATCCAAACTAAGAAAGAACTCTCATCTCTGGTTCTTCCTTGTTTTCAGGCTGATGCAGCCAACTTTCTCCTGCAACAAGGGTTGTGACAGAACCACATTTTCTTCCCTAATCTTGTGGGCAGGCTGGAGCTTTTCATGAAGGGAGATACAACCAGTTTCTGCCTCGAAGCATGGTGAAATCTCTTAGGATGTCTGCCTGTTATGACTCAGAGCAGCTGCTGAGAACGCTAAGCCAGAGTGTTCTTGAGCATGAGGTATGTTCACAGTTCTGGCCTTGTCCATATAGCTGCATAAATATTCCTAGTGAGTGGGTGTCAGCTCTGGCAGTAGGCATACAGTGCTTGAATTTCAGCACTAAATGACATCTGTGGGTGTTGGGATGCATTCCTTTTTTTTCCTGCAGCTAAAATACTCTGATAAAAATAAAAAAATAATAATAATAAAATAATTCTCAGAAATAAAATTAGTAACACATGACAAAAATAATAGCATCCTTCTGGAGAAAGGTGATGTGTTTGAAAAACTATATTTGATAAATTCAATTAGTTGCACAACACCATGCACTTCTCACATTTAACTTCTAAGAAGCTCAGAGCACTGGTTACTGTATGAAAAGACTGAATGTCCTATGAACTTGACAGGCTTGAATGTTCTATGAATCAGACACGCCAGCTGTTTATAACTTGGTTATTTTTGGTTTTACTTCATGATATTCCTTTTCTGAATGGAATAAAGCCTGTCTGAAAATGACTGATAAAAGGTCAGTTCAGTTAAAGATGTTAAGGAATGTCCATGCTTCCAAAATAATATGTACTCTAACCATACTGCTCCCATAGTATATACAGTTTTGAAATTAGGATTTGCCTTTTTCATTGCCCTAAATTGAAACCATTTCACTTCTAAAACATATCTAAATCTAGCCAATTGCTGTGTAGCAAATAAGCCAAATAAAGCTATCCAGTTCTGAGGGTAACTAGTTTTTATTGGTAATTAAAGTGATCAGTCTGTTCTTTTAAATTGATCTTGGTTTTAGGGTGACTCATTCAATAGACATACTGGTTTGACTGGACTAAAGCAGGACCTTGTACTATTTTATGGTGTTGCTCCTTTTCACTACCACATCTACTACAAGCTGAATCTGAAAACTGTGGAATTTATAAAATTTTGAATTTCACATTTAGGAAAGCCTGTATCTGGACTAGAAAACGTGCTTATCTCATTTAAATGAGTGGATAAAGTTAGAATCAAAGGAAGGATCTTCAACTGCAGCATGAACCAAAAAAAAAAAAAGCTCAAAAAAAAAAAAAAAAAGGCTCAATCTACTGACTGATTGTCTTCCCAGAGGCACAGATGTGAATCAAGAATATCCAGAATAATTATGTAGGATATAAATTAGATGAGAAGAAGCTAGTTTCTCCATCAAATGCAGTTTGCCAATAGCTGACATCATTATAATAGGATTGGAGATTATCCCTTGAGGACAATACTTGCTAGACAATGAGTTTTTTAAGCTAGCCTTAACAGTAGACAGAGGAAAAAGCTCAGTGAAAGCATCATTCCATTCTTGACTGTCACAGTTGCAACTATAGATGTTGATCTTTTCAGCCTTTAATCCCCACTCAGGTTTACCTCCCAAGCAACCAGGTTTGTTATTGGACCAGTCACTCCTTGCCTCCACCACTGCAGCTGGTGGAGCTGCAACTCCCTCTTCCTCGTTGAACAGGTTGAAGAGAAAATCCCAACTTGCTTATAACTTCCTAAGTTTTCCTCCATTTCTGCCTTATGACAACAGCTAACTTGCTTGTGCTTTCCCCAAAGAAAGCATTATTGATTATTCCACCCAAAGGTACAAGGTATTTTGTATCAGAAATACTGTGGCCAGCAGGACTAGGGAAGTGATTGTCCCCCTGTACTCGGCTCTGGTGAGGCCGCACCTTCAGTACTGTGTTCAGTTTTGGGTCGCTCACTACAAGAAAGATATTGAGGTGCTGGAGTGTGTCCAGAGAAGAGCAACGAAGCTGGTGAAGGGTTTAGAGCACAAATCTGTTGAAGAGTTGCTGAGGGAACAGGAGTCGTTTAGCTTGGAGAAGAGGAGGCTGAGGGGAGCTCAGCTACAGCTCTCTACAGCTACCTGAAAGGTTGTAGCCAGACAGGTGTTGGTCTCTTCTCCCAAGTAACAAGTGATAGGATAAGAGGAAATGGCCTCGAGTTGTGCCAGGGGAAGTTTAGATTGGATATTAGGAAAAATACATTCACCCAAAGGGTTGTCAATCACTGAAACAGGCTGCCCAGGGAAGTGGATGGGTCACCAACACTGGAGGTATTTAAAAGACGTGTAGATCTGGTGCTGAGGGACATGGTTTAGTGGTGGACTTGGCAGTGCTATGTTAATGGTTGGACTTGATAATCTTAAATGTCTTTTCCAACCTAAGCATTCTATGATTCTAGTTATACAGAGTACTAGATAAAAACAATAAAAGCTAATGTATGTTTCCCCTTACCTAAAACTTAATCTTTTTTTTGCAAGCTCTAATATGTTTGTGCTAGCTCAGTGACCACCATTGCTGTGCTGAAAGAAGTCAACTTCTTTGCTTCAGGCAGTTCTTTGGATATTTCCCTCTTTCTTCATTTGCGGTACTTGGGCACTTTAGCACTGGGAGATGATTCCCAGGAAGCTCTCAGAAGTTCATTTAACTCCACCTATTTTAATCCCAAGGCCCTCAACAATTAATCTCCTCCTTTTGCTCCTGGTCTCCAGAACAGGAAGAGTGAATCAGGCAGCTAAGCCCTGCAAAGTACAACACTCTCTCCATTTTTTACTTGTAGACTGTGGTATTCTCTCCAGCTGCACCTAACCGTTGCCCCTGTTCTGTTTTCTGTTTGTTTCCCACCTTCCTTTTCTGGTGCAGAATCCTCTGATTTAATTCTTCAGGAGAGATGAAAGGAACGGAGAAACTTGAGTTGCATGCAATTTTTCACATAGAAGAGCTCACAAATCATAGATTCCCTGCAACAGCTAATTCCTTCAGTCAGAAAGAAGGCAATTTGAAAGTAACCTTGCAAATTGTTCTGAACACTTACCAGCTCCAGTACTAAAGGCACTTGGCTACACCCACCAAAGGACTGAAAATAAAAATTTTAAAGCAATACTTTGAAGATGAAAATCTATGCACACCCCCCCAAAAAAACTACAAATCACTACCCTGAGCTAAAGTAATAGAACAGGCAGATAAACCATTTTCTGGAGTTTGTCCTAAATGTGCAATGTCTGTTTCTAAACAGTTGTCCTGGCCAGCATCATGGCAAGGGTACACAATGCTTATTAAGAAGTCCAGAAATAACACGCTACACTTCGTAAAAGACAATAGGAGGCAT